CACGGGTACGTCATCGCACGGTCGCACGTAGAACCGACTCTAATACTATGTAATAGACGGAAGTAAAACGGGTGTGGTCCCACGTACGTGAAGTGCACCATAAGCAGGGAGAACTTAGATAAAGCAGGATGAAACATGAATTGTAATGAAATTTTGGAATATGAGATTTTATCATCATAATAGAAAGGGTTAATTGCAGGAAAAATCCTGACTTTTACTTAAATTGCAAATAAAACTTCATTTTCTCAATTTGGCAAAACAATACACAAACTTTAACAAATTTTGCAATTATGTCTTGAAGGAAGATTCCCGTCAACTGATGCTGACATGGCATGTTGGTAAATTGATGTGGCACCGGTTTTATGACGTGGCAAAAAGACATTTTACACGTAAGAGTTCATGTCATCTCACTTACCGTAGGAATGCCACGTAAATTGGGAAAAACTACTTTATTTGTACCAAAAAAAAAAAAAGAGAGAGAGAAGAACACAAATGGCCCATTACAAGATATAAATGGCCGATTATTACCTAATATCGATAATCTCAGCACCAAAAGACCTTCAAATTTTGCTTCCTTTTTGTCATCTTCTTCAGTTTCCGTTTCTTATGAAGCTCCAAGAACAAAATGCTATTCAATAAAACCTTCTCCCTCCTCAAAAACCTCAAATTCATCATCTTCCTCAAATAAATTAAATATACAAATAAATTAATCAAGATTTACCCATCGTTTTTAAATTAAACCGTGTTTGACACAGTCCGACCGGATGGACCGAGAACCGGCTTATAACCAGTTTAGTTCACTTGAATAAAATATTTGTTGTTGAATTCGTCAACACCAGTCGGTTGAACTGGTAGGATCGATACGATTTTCTAAATAAATTTTGCTACATTTGAAATTATTTTAAATAAAATTGCATATTGAAATAAAATAGAGATTTATAAATTGTTTATCAATTAGTTTAATTATTGAATTTTTAAATTATTTAGATATTTAAGTAACACATTTCATTTGAATTTATTACAAAAATATTATATATATATATATATATATATATATATATATATTAATGCATATTTACACAAAAAGAAATTAAATTGTATGATTTTTATAAATTGTATGATTATACTAAAGCGATTTGTAAATTAAATATATGAAAAAATAAGAAAAATAATAAAACTATTATTTATGAGCTGTGGTGCGGGTGGCGGCGGCAGCTCGAGTCGAAGGAGCTTTGTTCGAATTTTCAGACGGGACACCATTTGGCTTCTCGAACGGGTCCCCACAGACGACGCCAAAATGATGGGACAAAGATGTCACCCGGGCTCCATCGACTCAGACGGCCACCGTACCTGCAAGAACCCAAAGCCCGAGACCCAGAGAGGGGTGCCCGACTTTGGGCCTCCGATGCTTAAGTCAGTATACCAAATTTAGTAGGTTATAAGTCAACGTAATTAATGCATTGTAATTTCTATCTAGAATTATTTAATTATTTTATTTATTTGTCTTATATCCCATAAAATCATTTTAAGAAAATAAAATCTCAAACCATCTGATAAGTAAAAAAAAAAAGACGTAAAATCTTTACTAAAATTAGAAAGGCTTTATTTATTTGTCTTATTACATATTAACATCGATTTTGTTAAAACAAATCTCATAAAATCGGTGGAGTCAAAATTTGTACGTAAAGTCTATCTATACTAAAAAAAGGCAGATTCAAAATTTCTTATTTAATTCATTCTTTTCCTTATCTAATTCCTTCTTATTATCTAATTGTATGGAAATCTATTCTGATTTTGTTCAATTATCTAATTGTATTTGTATTATATCACATAAAATCGTTTTAACAAAAAAAAACCTATAACATCCGATAAGTAAAAAAAGTATGTAAAATCTTTACTAAAATAAAAAAGGCTTTATTTATTATCTAATTGTATAGAAATCAGTTCTGATTTTGTTCAAACCGATTTCTGTATATTCAAATTTAGATTTTCTAATAAAAACATTAACAACAATATATATCTACTCTACCCATTATAAATTACAAATCTCAAAATATCGAATCATCTTCCTCACTATCAACCTCCCGCGAACAAAAAATATCCTCAATCAGTCTTTTATTCAAAACAATGAATCAAGAATTTGGGTTAATCAAACAAGTCAATAGGTCTAATAGACCTATGCTCAAAGTTCGAATTGTGAGAATGTTTTTCCAAGACTGGGGCAGCACATAAAAATCATATCTCGAGTTGGTTCTGCAAGAAAAAACTGTAAGCCAAATTATTTAAAATTTTTGTTTTAATTTCGAAATTTGAAACGTATATTTTAATTTTTTTTTTTTTTATTTTTCGTGTATGTATTTAGATATTTTTGTACATATTTAGTGAAATATATTTTTGATTTTTTTTAAATTATATTTTTAGATTTGCAATTTCATTTATTTATTCCACATATCGTGTATGTATTTAGATATTTAAATTGTTTATATTTATTTTCGTGTATTGTAAAACTTTTATTGAATATTGCATCTTATAATATAATAATCCCCAAATAAATATATCCCGTGCCTCGCACAGGTCACGTCCTATATATATATTCCGTATATTTTTCTTTATTCATTTATATAATTATAAAGCTGGATAAATGGCCTTAAAATTGTGCATACATACATCGCACGGGCTCTGTATTAATTTTGGTAAATAGGTTCTATATATATAGATATAGATATTTTCTTTCATTTCTTGGAAAATATATACAAGTAAATGATGTGCATTATTGATCATTAGACTATTTTGGATAAGGCAATTAATCCTTACCTAAGTTTGTGTTTCTCCACTTAATTGTGGGAAACCTTTCTTTTGCAAAAATCACTTGACAAAAGACAACAGCATCTCAATCACACTTGCAAAAGTAGCTAGTAATTTCGTATACCGGTTTTATTATTTAATGGGGGAAAAAAAAAATTATGTTGCTATTACATCAACTATTTTCTCCTTCTATAGAGCCTCGTTAGTCGTCCCTTTGCCTCGTCAGTAGAGTGAAACAAAAATCAAGTTTCATCTTCAACTGTTGGCGCTACATTTTACTCCATAAAAGTATTTTGTTTTATATTCTCATTATTTAAATTATTTTAATATCACAAATGTCATGTAATTAGATATATATTTTTACACATTTTAAATTTTAATATTACAAATGTAATTTAATTAGATATATTGTTTTACACATATTTAATGATTTAAATTATTATCCTTATATAACCAATAATATATAAATAGTACAACAATATTTAAAAAGTACAAAGTTTTAACATCAAAAATAAATTTAGTAAGTAGATGGCCCGTCATTTTGTCGCCGTGAACTGGATGGAAATCGGAGAGCGGCAGTTCCGGCAAAGCCATTGAAGAACTAACATCCAACTCGATTGGACTTCTGGGGGTGTGAGCGGATTAATGACAAATTGATGCGGTCACCATTAGACAGTTTTAGCCTTCACAGAGAGTAAGGGTTGTATGAGATAGTTTATTTTTTAAAAAATAAATAGATTAATAAATAACAATAATAATAATAAATCAAAGTTCACCTAATGGATTTCTATTAATAAAGAAAGAGATAACTGATCGCGCGTCGCGACGCGGCAAATTTAAATTTATAAATTTTTCCTTAACTAACTCATACCAACTAGTAGTAGCGACGAGTAAGGGTCGATCCCACGAGGAGCAGGAATTAAATCGTGATAATTTTTTGTATTAACTGAATTAAAACTAAGAAAGCGAATAAGGGGGGATTGATTTTAATAAAAATAAAAATAACAAAATAAGATAAAAACAAATAAAATAAGAGAAGTCCAGTTTTCGGTTCTGTTATCACCCAATCTAAATCTACCATTAATTAATTTCGACGCTTTCTTTAAATTGCTAATGAATTACGGACCCTAGCTAAAGACAAGCTCTGTTAATCGAATTTTCCCTTACAGAATATTTAATCGAAATAAGCTCTTCGACTAAACCTAACTAGCAGACAACCTTGAATAAGCTCTCTAGATTTAATACACTAGCAACATTAATTTCTAGGAAAATAGATCAGTCTAAGCAATGGACACAAAAGCTCGGACCATTTAACTTATGTTCACGCTACCCTAGAGATGCACGACCCCTAGTTTACTACTAACGAAACAAGGACAATAACAATTACGGACTAAAGCATCGAATCTAGCAATTAAATTATGAACATTCAATATAGTTGGCCAAACTAAATCAAACACCATAATTCATAAACACTAAACACAGATAACATGAATCAACTCATCAACAAAAATAAATATGGCGTCTCAATTAACCAACGGTTAAAATAAAGGCGTCTCAATTAACCAACAGTTAAAATAAAGGCGTCTCAATTAACCAACGGTTAAAATAAGTTTTTCAATCCATAGACAAATCAAAGTTAGAGTTCAAATATTCCCTCAAACTGGATAAAAATCTAGTCTAACATACTAATAAAATAAATATTAATTAAAAGATAAAAGAGAGAAAATAAAAATATCTCCTCACGCCCCTCCCAACGAATTTTTGATTTCTTTAAAAATAAAAAAAAAAACTGGACAAAAACAAAAACAAAAAAAAAGGA